TTTCAACTGTTTGGAGATACATTTCTGTCTAAAAAGAGTGGGTATAATGAATTAAATAATTTAAATTAAGAAAATTAGTAAATAATTTAAATTAGTGAAATTAAAAAAATTATGAAAGAAAAAATTTCCATCTTTTCTTTAAAATTCCCTGATTTTTCCAGGTTTTTATCCAAATTTCCCTGATTTTTCCAGTATAAAAAAATTGCCTAATAATTCCAGGTTTTCAAGGTGGATGGCCACCCTGATAAATAGACACTTTTAGATTGGAATTAAAATAAGAGATTGTTATTGTAGATGTTGTGATGTAAAATATTTATATTGAATGATATTTTTTTAAAAAATTAAAAATAGCATGTGATTATCCATTTTTCTATTAAGAAAAATTTTAAATTGTTTCAAAATAATTAAAACAGTTGAATTACATTAAAAATATTCATCAAAAGTAATAAAAAAATTACATTTATGATGTACTTTTTATTTTCATAAAAATAAGTAATGTCCATAAAGCTTGACAAATTGAATATAAAATTACTATACATAAACTCTCAAAATTAACTTTTTCTTACTACTTAATTACTTCTATAGGTTAGCAATCCCATAATCAGAATAAAAAATATTATGCACAAGAGAAATTTCTTCTGACAAAAATTGCTGAAAATCAATTACCCAACATTAGCATTAATGACCATTTCAGCTTAAAGAGAAACACTCTGGGATAATAAGTTTCCCCACGAAAAAAATCTTTAAAGGAACATTATTGCTTAGTATAAATGAGCAGTTTTAGTAAAATTAGTAGATGACGTAGGTGGTATATGGGTGATTCTTAGGAAACATGACAATTCGGACCAAAAAATTTCTCCAAATTTAAAGTCTTCAACACAATCAATACATGTTTTTTGTATATTTATTTAGTTACATTTATTAATTTCTTACAGATAGCAGGGTAGTTTATTGACATTTGCTCAAGAAAAAAATAAAATAGAAATTCACCACATTTTGAATGCCAGGAAAATGACATATTAGCTTAGAAGTTTTAAAAAACAGTCATTTTAAGCTATTAGTAAGTAACATAACCTAAGCCCTTATGTTAGATGGACCATGAATAACTTAAATTAATTCTTTTATCTACTGCAGAGAGAATCAAAAAAAAAATTGTTGCTGATATGTACAGAATAAAATTGTGTAGAATAATCAATCATTAAATAAATAAATAACTTTGATCACATCCAAGCATATTACAATCATATATAAACTTGGTAATAGTTTAATATTTGCTTTCCCTCCTTACAGTATTAGCAGTTTAAAAAAAATTTACGTAGATGGTATACACCAGACAGAGACAAATATATAAAAATTATAAAATGATTTTTTTACTTAACTAATAATTAAGAGTATTTTTTCACTTTTGTTAAAATTCCAAGTATTGAAACAGATCCTCTTAAATTAGTAAGACATTTTTATAATGTTTTTTTTTAATTAAATAATTAAGCATTATTGCTACTGACTGAAAACTTATTAAAAAACTTCAGGCATAAATAAAGCTCTTTATTGTACTGTTTGATGGTTTCATGCTGAGTGAAACAGTAAATAAGAAATTTTAAATTTATTATATAAGTTTTATAATGTTCATTTTGAATAAAAAGTAAGGAAGGCAATTTTAATAACTTGCATTGTTCACTTGCATTTTGATCACTCAAAATAAACAAAAATATTTTAAGAGTTTTTTTTTTCCTTTTTAAATTAATCAACGAGATGAATTTTACATTTATTTTTTCAAAAACCTATTTTGAAAAAATAGGTTTTTGAAGTTCTTTCTTAATTCTAAGAAAACAAAAACTATCAGTCAAGTTTTTCTATTATAAAAAAAATTATTAGTTAAAACTTTTCTACATAAGTAATTTTTAGCAAACAAATAACTGACTAACACAGCAACAAAAATTTGTACCCTACAACTAAGGATTTAAGTAGCCCTGGGCCAAACATTTAATCAAGGTTAAAATTTTGTTCAGTTAAAAAAAATACAGATTTATCATTGGAATTTTTTATTTCACTCAGATTTTTTTTAAAAACTCCTTTCACGTTTTAAGACCCTATATTCTAGGGATTGAAAATTAGAGTATATCGAAAAAAAGGTATGTTTATTAAAAGAAAGTATGTTTATGTATGTGATTTCAAATATCGTCTACATTAATTAATCAGCATATTTGATGTCATCCCCTCAAACCATTAAGATTGAGTCCTAGAAGGTGAAGATCCGATCACATTAAATCAAAAGCTATTCAGAGTGTTTCTTTCTTAATTCATCCACTATACTTAAGGCAACTCAGTTAAACTTTTTAATGTAAAAATTAACTGAAAATGTGTCATAAAACAATAAAGAATGTAAAAAGTTTGTTACTTCAAAAAGAAAGTGTTTGCTTTTCCTCATCATTAAAATTAATGATTAATATCTCATAGAATGTATAAATTATTTCAGTGTAAAAGTACTCTTTAATTTAGTTGAATACTGAATCGCAATTGTTGGCTGACCACCAAAGATTCGTGAAATTAATTGTAATATAATAATTCGTGATTTAAAATTAAAAAAAAAAAAAAAGAAAAAAAATCAAATAAAAACAATTTTTTTCTAAATTAGAATAAGAAAAGTCCTTTAGAATAAAAAAAAAGACAAATAAATAACTTACTTCTGACTCTGGCTGGAGGTGTGGATACGGAGGAAGACATTGAGAAGAACTGGAAGAAGGAGGAGGAGAAGATGAAGGACTGGGATTCAAATACTGGAAACGAATCAGTGCCACTCACCTGCTGAGAAACATAAGATAATGAATGACAGATATATAAAAATACAAATTTAAACAAAAATATAAATATAACCTTTAGAAATAAAAAATCTTTTTAATAAAACATATTTCTGGAGAATCCCACTTTCTTATGTTTTTGAGTTTTATTACCAGACAATCAAACATTTATAGGAGCAATTGTTTCAGTGTCTGGCAAGATAATTTTTTTTTTAATAAAAATTTAATAACAAAATTTTAACCATTTGCCAGCTTTTTAACAGCCACCAAAGCTATATCCAATGCTCCCCACAGCATTCAAACCAAGAAAGAACTGTTCACAGGCCTTGGAGATAAAATTTAACATGAAATTTGTATTTAAATGTAATAGTGTTTTTTCTACCTTAAAAAAAGAAACTTAACTAATATCAGGAGACAAGAATAAAATTTGAATAGTTATCAAGTTGTAAAATTTAAAAAAATAAATAAAATGCTACCATTAATGTTCATCAAATTTATCTGACAAAGCAATTAAACAATAATTAAATATTAATGTACTAGAATAAGCTTACGTTCTTTTTTTTAACAATTAGACCTATAAGCTAATAAATATTACTAATGAGGTCATCTTTAAAATATTTGAAAAATTCACTTATCGAAAACTAAATTTAAAACAATGGGTAATGCTTAACCAATCAGAAAATTCCATTTCGATTTTTTTACTCATTCTGCTTGAACAGTTCGTCATAGATGGTTTGAATATTGGCAGTGATCTTCTTCGTGCTCCAAACTATTGATATGCCAAATGTCATTGTTTTCGGACGGCTGATTTATGAATCTCTAAAAGACCCATAGACATTCATTTATATAAATATAGAATTTCTTTTTCTAGTGATATTAATTATAAGGATCAGACCATAGCTAATGAAAGTTAAAATAACTTTTATGCTTGGATGGAAAAATAAGTACTTACATAATATTAACTCGTTTTCTCACTAAACTAGGGAACTAGTAAAACTAGGGAACAAAGCTAGGGATCTAGGAACATTCTTTCAAAATAGGTGAACATGAAAATATTTAGAGGAAACCATTTATTTCTTACAAAAGTCTTATTTTAAGCAAAATGCTGATATTTGATGTTAGCTTTGCCACTATCTTAAATCCACAGAAGAAGTCAGAGTGGGGCAAAACTGAAATTTTGCTATCTAGACAAAGGAGGTATTGATTCTGATGAATTTGTTCATGTTAAATGGAAAAAAAGAAATCAAATCCTAATCGATGAAACTAAAAGTTTAGAAGTTATTGCGGTTTAATAAAAAAAAATGCAAATTTAGACTTATAAATATTTAAGCATCTGACACTGCTGTCTGGGAAAGTGAGGTATTGTCTCATATGTTACATTAACTCTAAATTGAACATGATCAAAAGAAAATAAATAATTAAAATAGTTGCTCTAAATCCAAACCAAGTTGTTAGAGTTAGACCAAAATTTGAAGATATTCAAAAAGTTAATAATGAAAAACATATTTAAAAAAAAAAAATTTTTTTTTTCAAAAGAAACCCAAACAGTCCAAAATGTGTTCAGCAGAAGACAAGAGTTTTTAAAGCTTTATATTTTTTGATTTACACTTCTTAATGCATAGCGGTTTAGAGAAGTGATTTTGAAGATCAAAAAAGACAATCCCAAAAAATAGATTTTAAAATTTAGAACAAAAAATACAATTCTACCTATTTGTGAGTTCAAAATTGCCATTTAAACACGTGAGATATTATTTTTTGCATCTTTTTTTTTTTAAATCACATTCAGACTAAAACGAGTCAAGAATACAAAACTAGAAGTTTTACCTGTAAAAACTTTTAAATTACTATTTAAATAAAAAAAACTAATTAATATACATCAGGCTTTGCTAAATTGTTTATTCTATTCATTGAGGTTTTGATCTAATTCTATTTGGCATAAAAAAAATTATTAATCCATACTTAATTTGCTAGATAATGCTTAAGTTCCCTCCACATCTTCCAGCTTACATATTATGCAACTTTTTATGACTTACTAAGATAATATTAACTCTGCCACATGGATAGCTTCGGCTATTCCGAGCGCCAGTCCCAAGCCTGGATAAAGGAGGAGGGTTGGTCGTAAGGCTAGTCCCTCTACCCCATAAAACATCCCTGACTACAGAAACCAAAAGCATATCGGGCCAAATTCTCTTAGCGGAAGCAATGACTTGTGAAATTCCAAATGACAGTTATCTAACCTGGAATGAGGAAATCACGCCTATGAAGTGTCGAAGGGAAAGCCATTTGGAGCCTTCGATGCGGAAGAAGTCATTGATGAAACCTAAACACAAGTTACGAATTGGTGCTTGGAATGTAAGAACTATGTACCAATGTGGAAAAAGTAGACAGGTATCAATGGAAATGGATAGATACCAATTGGATATCTTGGGAATATCAGAACTTAGATGGACAGGTTTTGGCAAGATTAAAACTGGAAGTGAACAAATCATTTTGTACTCAGGAGCTGAAGAAAAGCACGAAAGAGGCGTGGCGCTAATCATTAATAAAGAAACAGCGAAGAGTCTTTTGGAATGGGAACCAATCAGTGAAAGAATTTTAAGAGCACGATTTTATTCAAAATATATTAAACTATCAATTATTCAAGTGTATGCACCAACGAATGATGCTGATGAGGAGGAAAAGGAGACATTTTATGATCAACTACAATGTGTTTTAAATCGAGTTCCAAAACATGACATGATAATTCTTATGGGAGACCTTAATGCTAAGGTTGGAAAACGGATTAGTGATGATGAAACCTCCATGGGAAACGAATCACCGGGCGAGAGGAACGAAAATGGAGAACTGTTTGTTTCCCTGTGCGAACTAAATAGTTTGAACATAGGTGGGAGTAGATTCAAGCATAGAGAGATACATAAATGTACATGGACCTCACCAGACGGAAGAACAAAGAATCAAATAGATCATATTGCAATTAATAACAAGTTCAGGAGCTCACTAAGAGACGTAAGAGCGATGAGAGGTGCCGACGTTGGATCAGATCACTACTTGATTCTTGCAATATTAAAACTAAAATTAAGAAAATCACCAAAGAAGACGGGACATAAAAGAATAAGCTATGACATTGCTAAGTTAAAAGCCAAAGAGTGCAGACAAGAATTTTCAATCGAGTTGAAAAACAGATTTGAGCTGTTAAAGGAAGAAGAAAATCATGGCAACACTAAGCAATCAGAAAATGAGGTAAAAGAAAAAGTTGAAGAGACTTGGGAACATATCAAAAACATTTATTGCGA